TTGGTTCCTCATTTTCTCCTTAATCTCTCCCGTGTTGCTACTTCCCTTATTGGTCTGATTGTTCAACTCTCTCATTAACTTTCCGATTTTTTTGTTTTTTTTTAATATGATTTAGAAAATCAAAGACATGGTACATTCGCCTTTCTCATCAGATATCTACAGTCCCTATCCTGTGGTACATCATCATCTTGATAGCATGTTAAAGTCTCCTTGCAACGGTAGCGAGAATAACTTGTCCAAAAAGAGAAAGCAAGAATATCAATACCCAATAACACCTGTAAATGATTTTTATTTGCCTTCTCAACAACAGCAAAAGTCTCAATTGTTATATTCACAGCAACAGCAACCACAATATAACCTAGCTTACCAACATCAATTCGCTTCTGCTGCAATGTTTAACCCCACTTCTTGGAATGACTACGTTCATTCGAATCCCTCCACTCCATCAAATTCGCCCCCACCTCAACCGCCACCGCGCTCCGACGCTGTGAACATAAACGACTACATCGTCGCCGATGCAAATTTATCACTATCCACGCCTGACAATGTTTATGAATTAGAACAATTGTATAATCCTTATGGTACCATCGCGACTTTACCATTGAACACAACCTCAAATTTTGAAAATCCCGCGAATTATGATTACGCTGATGTTGCTGATGCATCGATTGCTGCTGCTTCCTCAGGAAATTCTCCAATCCCCAGTTCTGAAGGTGTATTGCGTGATCATCCACAAATCGACGGTAGCATCGATTCGACCGACGATCAAGTCGACTCGCAAAAGAATTCTTCGTATGATTCTCTGGCTGGACTGGCCGCTGCCGCCGCTATGGTCTCGTGCGGCAGAGACACTCAAGCTTCAACTGCTTCCAACTCGATGAGCGATGAAGCAGGCGTTCGTCATGATCATCATCATCATCATCATCGTAGACCTTCTCATTTGATGCCTTTGAGTATTAATTCACAACCTAGTGTGTACGACTTTAGGTTTGAAGATCCTATATCCTCCTCTCCTTCATCCGCCTCCACATCTGTTTTCTTTGAGTCAACCTTTTTGGACGGTGTCACCACTACTAACACAAACATGACGGATGGTTACACTTTTATCAACCCCGCTATTTCAACTGACCAACTGTTGGAACGTGCCGCCACGATCTCCAGAACCCCAAGCTTTGATAGCATATCTACTACCCCTCAGCATGGTTCGGTTTTCAATTCCGAAAAGATTATTGAGAATCCTCAGACAATTATCCCGGCTGCCATTACCATCACGCAACCTTATACTCCCCAACAGACTTTTGCCCCGATGCTAACTCAAACTCCAAGCACCATTGACCTAGCGGAATCAGATTATTTCAATAGTAAACAACTTTCTCAGAAACAACAACAAAGGCGACGCAGAAGTAGCTCAACGTCAAATCCACCAAATATTAAAGTTGAACCGCGCACACCTGCTCTCTCTCCTCCTGAATCTCCTAATGACTCCGCTTCTTCCACGAGCTCTTCTCCACCATCCCCATCTCCTCCGCACACCCCGACGTACATGCGTAGGATGTCGATTTCTCCTACGATCATGGAAGAGGAGGAAGAAATGTTATCATCCGCAAACAATCCCACTAATCTACCGCTCGTCGCCTCCGGATTCGTTTCCGACATGTCCACCGTCAACCCGAGGCTCACTCAGGCTGTCACGCCCAACCTCATGAGGTTAACTTCACAATCAATAATTTCATGTGTAACAACATTCATGTGAAAAAAAAGAATTTTTTTTTGACTCAACTTTTTTCTATAGAACAGTGATTCATCAATATCTGAGTTCCGCCAATCCCTCTACGATGGGTGAAAAGACCGTCATGGTTTTGACCTCAAAGGTTGCCCAAAAGTCTTATGGAACGGAAAAGAGGTACGCGTCTAACCTTTGATTATCGAATTCGACCTGATCGCTCTTTTTTTAACGATCAACCTAACGTCAAACAGATTCTTGTGTCCTCCGCCGACAACTTTGATTCTGGGATCGAGTTGGTGGTCCCCTTCGCCACATAATTTGAATCACTCGACCTCTTCCACCACTTACAGCCCGCCTAAAATCTCCGTTGGCATCTCTGGCGAACAAGGTCATCAACAGGGAATCCTCGAGTGGATCAGTCCGTCCGGTAATCCGCTCGATCCTAATTCATGCTCCGAGATGGCATTTAGTGGAAAGTGTGTGTCCAAGCATTTGTACATCAACGATGCTGATGAGAAACGTAAGAGGGTCGAGGTTTTGGTGAACATTCAGAGTCCTTTGGGTCACGATTTTGGTACATTTGCGAGCAAACCGATTAAGGTCATCAGCAAACCTAGCAAAAAGCGACAGAGTGTCAAGAACATGGAATGTATGTTCTAAGGCAGAATACCTTTTTTCTTTTCTTTTCGTCATTCGAGTGACCACCGAAGAGCTAAACCTTAATGTGATTTATTAGTGTGCATTCATCACGGAACCACTATTTCGCTCTTCAATCGCATCCGCTCTCAGACCGTTTCTACCAAATATCTTGGAGTTTCTATGCAAAATGCGAATCAAACTTTTGGCCCTTGGAATTATGGTAATGGTCAGATGGCGTCGAACCCGACCGAGCAACCTCATCCGTGTTTTGTCGCTCGAACCGGTAGTTGGGATCCGTTTATAATTTGGATTGTGGATCCACATTACGTCAAGGGTAAGGAGGATCATTCGTCTCAACCTACCAATCCAACTTTCCCTCGTCCGCCGCCTTCCGCCATCAAATCAACCAGCGGCAACCCGATTCCAATTCACTATAATCAGCAAATTGTTTTACAATGTCTGACAACCGGAATGACTAGCCCAACCATGGTCATTCGCAAAGTTGATAAAGGTAGCATGGTAATTGGAGGAGGTATTGTGGAAGAATTAAGTGGATTCGGTGAAGCCGAAGAAGGTTGGTTCTCTCATCATTCGTTGATCGACAGGTGATTCTACGTGCTGATTTACGTTCGGCGACTAAAAACACCACCTGTTGCATATTATAATAGCCTTAGGTGATCCCGTGTCACAACTTCACAAAGTGGCATTCCAGATCAAGGAAACCAACGTCACCTCCTCTCCATCAACCTCGCCTACATTCCAACCCGCAAATCGTCAGCATCCACCAGGTCCAGGAACTTACCTTGCTTGTCTCGGTGACATCGTTGGGATGCAACGGGCAAATGAGGGTCGTAAAATTATAGCTCAACCTCCATCGTTGTCGATCAACACCAACTTTTTGGGTATGAAGACTAATCCATCATTATCTGAAATTCCGGCGGCGGTTGCCGCAGCTTGGGCATCTGCCACCATAGACTTTCCTGTTAACACTTCCTCATTATCAGAATCTGCTGTAGTCTCCACGGAGGGTGGTAAAGTCATTCGTAAACGACGCGTTTCCTCATCAATAGTGGTTAGACCCACGTCGCAGCTATCAAAAACTGCGTTGGCAAAGAACAGGAGGAGGGTTAATAGTCTGAGTGGTGTGGCAAGTGAGGTTGACCTCGCAAAGTTCGCTGCGAATGCCAGGAATTCGGTCGGACACAGAAGTCATGATAATGCCGGTGCCTTGTGGACAGAAGATGTTACGGACGCCGCTGTTTGGACAATTGTTGGAACCGGTGAGCTTTTTTTTTTTCTCCCGTCAGACTCTCGCGACATGATTCCACATTGTGCTTGTTTATTATTGCTCATGCACTAATCATTCGCATCAAATACGTTTAGATTGCGCATCGTATACGTTTTATTCTCCACAGAATGTAATCACCAGTCCATCTCATCACATATCATCATTATTACCATCTGCACCGTCCACACCGGTTACGCCTCTTCCAAGTATCTCGAGCATTCAACCATCGACATCTGGATCGAGTTCGGCGACACCAAATACCATCACAATAAGTGGCGAAAACTTCACGCGAGATCTGATAGTGTGGTTCGGAGATATTCAAAGTCCAAAGACCGAGTTTAGATCCAAGGAATGCATGGTGTGCTTATTGCCCGAAGAGTTGATGTATGAAATGGAACATCAAAATAATATCAAGCGAGACATCAACCTTCAGTCTCAACATCTTCAACTCCTCTCCAACGGAAGGGTCGGTGTAGCCGGAAGACCTATTTTGTTAAGTCGTAGTGATGGAGTTGTGTTCAAAACTGG